CGGTGTCCACGGAACCAATGGTACTTTAGATTATATTCATTCAGATATTTGGGGTCCTTCTCAGGTTCAATTGAAAGGTGGAGTTCGTTTTCTGCTAACATTGATGATAATTATTCCAAAAAAGTTTGGGTGTATTCTTTGAAGCATAAGAGTGATATATTTGTAACCTTCAAGCAATGGAAGGTTATGATTGAGAAGCAAACATGAAAGAAAGTAAAGCGCCTCAGAATCGATAATGGGATGGAGTTTTGTTGTACAGAGTTTGACTAGTTCTGTAAGAATGAATGTATTGTACGTCATCGTACAGTTTGACATACACCACATCAAAATAAAGTTGCACAAAGGATGAACAGAACACTTTTAGAGAGAGCTCGGTACATGCTCTCTAATGCTGGTTTGTCAACATACTTTTGAGCCGAGACAGTCAATACAGCTTGTTATTTGATAAACAAATAGCAATTAATTTTAAGACTCCAGAAGATGTATGGTCTGGTGCCCCTGCTAATTACTCATTTAAAAGTATTTGGTTGCTCTGTTTATCTTTATGTTAATGATGATAAGTTTGAACCCAGAGCAAAGAAAGTTATCTTTGTAGGATATACTACTGGGGTGAAGGGATATAGATTGTGGTGTTCTGATCCCAAATCACCTAAGTTTATTATTAGTAGGGATATCACTTTTGATGAGAAATCCATACTTCACCCGAAAAAGGAGTTTGTTATTGACACTACTGGTTCTGAAAATAAATCTAGCAAGCAGGTGGAGCTAGAGAGCTCAGCTTCAAAGAGAGTGTTTAAGGGCGTTCATATGGAACAAGTTGATACTGCGAAAGGTTCAACTTCAGATGCTGATACATCGTAAGAGTAACAGTATAATATTGCCATCGAGAAAATAAAAAGGCAAATCTGACCTCCTCAATACTATATAGATATGCTTGCTTATGCTTTGAGTATAGCAGAATCGATTAAGATTCTATAGCCTTTTACCTATAATGAGGCTATTAGTGCAATGACACTACAAATTAGACAGTTACAATGACTGAAGAGATGGAGTCTCTTCACAAGAATAAGACATGGGAGTTAGTGAAACCACTAATGGGGCAGAAGATCGTTGGCTGTAAATGGGTGTTCAAGAAAAAAAAGGAGCTCCAGATACAGATTCTGTAAGGTACAAGGCATGCTTGGTAGCTAAAGGTTATTAGTCAAATAGAAGGTGTAGGCTTCAATAAAGTATTCTCTCCAGTTATAAAATACACATCAATCCGCATGTTGGTTGTCATGATTGCTCATTTTAATTTGGAGCTTGAGCAACTTGATGTGAAGACGGCTTTTCTATATCGCAAGCTTGAGGAACAGATCTTTATGCATCAACCAGAGGGGTTCATTGTTGAAGAAAAAGAAGATCATACGTGCATGTTGAAGAAATCTTTTTATGGGTTAAACCAGTCTCCGAGATAGTAGTATTTGAGATTTGATACTTTCATGTTCGTGCATAGTTACTTCAGGAGTAAATATGATAGTTGTGTTTATCATAAAAAGCTCAATGATGATTTTTTTGTGTATTTGCTTTTGTATGTTGATGACATGTTGATTGCAGCTAAAGATATGTTAAAAATCAACAAGTTAAAATCTCAACTCAAACATGAGTTTGAGATGAAGGATTTGGGAGCAGCAAAGAAGATTTTGGGGATGGAGATCCACAGAAACATGCGAGAAGAAAGTTTATTCCTATCTCAGGCGAAATACATCAAGAAGATGTTGGAGAGATTTGACATGCTTGATGCTAAGCTAGTGAAAACTTCGTTTGCTACTCATTTTCATCTTTCAACAGATTTATCACCTCAGACTGAGGAGGAGCAGTACATGTCTTGTGTTCCTTATGCTAGTGTAGTTAAAAATAATATGGATGTTATGATCTGCACCCATCTAGATATTTCACATGCAGTCAGTGTTGTAAGTCGGTATATGGATAAGCTTGGAAAGGCCCATTGACAGGCTGTAAAATGGGTACTTAGATATTTAAGAGGATCAGCTAATATTGATTTATATTTTGGCAGGAACACAAACTCAGATTGCAGAATACTTGGCTATTCAAATTCAGATTATACGGGCAATTTGGATAAGAGACGATCCCTGATAGGTTATGTATTCACTCTTTCAGATAGTGTCATTATTTGAAAAGTGACTCTACAGTCGACAGTTGTTTTGTCTACCTTACAGGCAGAGTATATGACAGTGACAGAAACAGTGAAAGAAGTCATTTGGTTGAGAGGTTTGGTTGAAGATCTCGGCTTACACCAAGGTGTTACTACGGTATTTTATGACAGCCAGAGTGCTATACATTTGACGAAGCATCAGATGTATCATGAAAGAACCAAACATATAGATATCAAGTATCATTTTATCAGAGAAATTAAAGTCATTAAGATTAAGAGAATTAGTACTGCTGATAATCCAGCAGATATGATGACGAAGCCCATACCTTCACGCAAGTTCGAGCATTATCTCGAATTGCTTGGAGTTTAACAAAATGGAGGTTAAGCCCGTAAGGGGCTTCTGGCGAGACAGCAAAAGTAAAGAGAAGATCTTTATATTCAAAGTCAATGTGGAGATTTGTGAAATATGACTTTGAATCCAAAACTTTGACCAACCAAACTCAAACACTGTTCCACCAACCAAACACCATTCCACCAATCCAAAACATTATTTCACCAACTATTTTGAAGGCTACAAATAGAGGAGAGTGGTGAAGGTTAGAGCATCGAACAAAAATTCAAAACAGAGAGAAGAAAGAGAGATTTGAAGAGAGAAGAAAAGGGAGTTTCTTTGAGTGTTCTTTTCTTTGTGTGAGTTTGGTGAGATATTAGAGTGATGTCCCTTTGTAATCTTCTCTTTTGTGATTAGTGAAGTTCTCTGTTGTTTTCGTCCGTGGACGTAGGTCATACTGATCGAACCACGTTAAATCCTTGTATGCTGTTCTATTTGTCTTCACTGTGTTTATTCAGTATTGTTATTCTCCACTCTTTTATAGACATCTTCTGTGTCTGTGAATCCCGTCGCTGCAACAAAGAAAATGTTGTTCTAGAATAATATTGATATCCTATTGATGTTAAAATGTTCCCTTGTTTTCTAAATATGGATGCTGGAATCTGACCAATACTGACTTCCCTAGACATAAGATGTTTCCACTCATACACAATCTGATTTTCGTAGATCTGGTTTTACCCTACATGTTCCCCTCCCCAGAAAGAAAGCCTTAGGGCTTTTCTTTCTGATGATTAGTTATCAGTTTAAAAGATTATCTGTTCTGTCCTCTTCATCCTCAAACAGAGCAAAACTATAGTATAACGCCCTCTAAATGTTGGTTTCCCCAATTCGGCATCAGTTAGACCATTAATGATCCTAAGAAAGGTGTAATTCCCTTCTTCAGCTTGTCAATGTTGTTGTCATTGGTCCTCCACAATCTTAAAGATTGTTTGGTTTGCGGATTCCATCTCCAAGGTTTTCATTACAAGTTAAATCTTGAAAACCTATACCCAAAATCTTGTTACAATTGATAGTGAAGAGGATTTGCACGAAGGACAAAATCTAACTAAAATTTTGTTTGGTTGTACGTTAATTTTGTTTGATTGAAATTAAATAAATTTTCATAGATCACGCTTGATTCATCTATCCAAAGTTGCAACCCCAAATTCCTATAATTTAAATGCTAGCCAAATAGTGTATTTGATAAAATTTTTGATAAAATTCCAGGATTTTATACTTGTGGGCTCCATTTTTCCAATAGGAAGTTGCAAAATCCCACCAAATTCATGGAAGTGAAGAACCCCTTTAATCTACCAAGTAAAGACCCTAAAACTTCTCATGTGACATAATAATGAGAAACTGGGTAGGTCTAGATATTTCTTGATTTAGGCCTGTTAAAGAGCTCGTTAATACAACCTGAATATCCTCTCCTATCTCCTCAGCTCACTCACATTCACTCAGGTTGTCAGCAACTTAAAAAAAAAACCTTGAGAGTCATGGGTCTTCGCAGTGCCAAATGACCTTAAGCTAATCAAGTCTTCAATTGGCAGAAGACTAATGTGTGTAAATTTGACGTTTCTTCTACTAAGAAATTAGGTTGCCTACCAGTCTACCACCCTTGAATAATGATCATTTTCTTGATACATATCTCCCCACAGAGTTCCTGCCAACACCTTTTTTTTCTTCAGCACCTGTCTGATGGAAACTAAAAGCCAAGGTGTGCTACTATGTTACTGTTGATGTTCACCAATTTCTAAACCTGTAAGGTCAAGAATGAACGTAACAGTCAATCAAAACCACAACAAATACATCAAATGAACTGAGGTAGGATTTGATGCCATCAGGTTTGAAGAGAAATTCTTCCTTCAGTGACCAAACCACTATTTTCTAATCGATTTGTATGGCTGAGTCAGTTTCTTGCTAATACGAAATGCAACATCCAACTACCTGCCCAACTGATAGCACTTGTTGTATTTTGTGTTTCTACTGGTACTTGAACTGGTCTAGACACACAAATGGGGTCATTTTAAACATTTTCAACTTATTTCATGGTAATGAAACATAAAATATACAAAATCTAGGATATCAAGAATTAGAACCCATATTGTTAGATTGGCTCTTACAAATCTGAAATCCCAAATAATAAGGATTTGCATCCGGTTCTCGAGATTTCGCTTCATAATGAAATATGGATATCACAAATGAACTTAGCTCAGAAATTGCATCCGGAATCTAATATGACTTGGGCACAGTACTACTATCATCTTTTGTATCAAGCATGGAGCAATTTGATTCAGTTATTAGTCACCTTCAACTATGTTAGGATAAGAAACAAATGCAAGAAAATTCTCACCAGACTCTGACAGTGGCATCAACCATGCAACTTCACAAAAGTAAAAAAAATCATTCAAACTTTCTCCTTTATTGCACACATACTGCTCCAAACATCTATAAAAAGCAAGAAAACTAGTAGAACTAACCAAGCTTGTTCCTGAAGTTCAAAACACTTCCAATCATGAAGCAATATTTTTCCATCCTTGGTCTGTTTCTTCTCTCACTGCAGCTCTTCCAAAGCTCAGAGGCTGATATTGGGTGCAGTGATGTTCTCAAGGACTTGACACCCTGTGTCAGCTATCTAACAACCAGCAGTGGGAGCCCATCAACTGCTTGCTGCAATGGGGTCACAACCTTGGCATCTGCTACATCGAGTACAGCTGATAGAAGGGCTGCATGCAGTTGCATCATGAATGTTGTGTCCAAGGTCAAGCCTAACATAGAAGCAGCAAAGGCACTGCCAGGGAGCTGCAACATCACCTTGCCTTTCACTGTGTCTCCCAATCTGGATTGCTCCAAGTATGTCAGACGATCAACAAACTATTAAAATCTTCCTTTCTTATAACTCCATGACATTTTTGGCTTTACCTTGTCAACTATCCTCTCATTATCCAAATCCAGAGTTATTTCGGATCCATAGTCTAGATTAAGAGAGCATATTTTAACTTAAAATCATAATTTGATATGTTTTCTTAGTGGGATAAAATGTGTCCATTCTCTTATCCCGATTACAGTTCAACTTCTTGCCAAACTGCAAATTTTGAAAGTAGTTCCTAAAAACAATTATCTTAAGAGTGTACTTTCTAACCTATTCTTCTCATGTTCAATTGCAGAATTGATTGAACCAAGTCTCATGATTCAGGAATGTGAGGGGGGTATATTATGTGCGTAATCATCTTACAGTTTCTCCACTGAAGACGTGTTTGTGTGCTACCTTTGTACTATGTTAATCAAAGAGCAATATATATGTGCTCTATTGTTGTATAATCTAAATATACAATATGAATGACTTACTTGTGCTACTCTTTCTGAAAAAAGAAAAACCTTGGTATACATTTATTATTCTGAAGGCGCTGATGTCAAGAGATTTTCATGACATGGGATACCATCTAGTTTAGTTGAAGGTTTGTAGTAACTAATAAACTTAATGCACTTAGTCTACTGAGGCTGTTACAGCTAAGAAAAAGGGCATTTACATGAAATAACAAACTGCAGATCAAAAGAACATTCACACCAATGATCCATACAATTAATGTCGCTTTGTGCAACCTTTAAAACACCTCATACAAATTTGCCATATGTGTGAAAGTATGTTAGATGGGTTCCAACAGAATACAAATATAAATGTACCCCAACAATAATGCTCATAACCTCATGTGAAAACTGAATACAGATAGTCAGCAAGTTATTCATGCATGTTTATTAATTGCGTTTGACTGGAAACTGGACAGTACATGACATGTATGAAGTTCATGAAGACATATTTCATTTAACACGAATGCTAATTTCACATCTAATTGATGTGAGGACCACCCTTTATGTGCCGCCAAGGCAATGAGTGTCAATAGTGTCATGTTGAGCAACCAATGTAACTATTTTATTGTAGTCAACTCCCGGTAGTTGACAACCACTAATCTTGCTTTATGCCTTTGAATGGAATAATCTGCATTGTGCTTTGTTTTGTAGATCCACTTGAGGCCAATGACTTCTTTATATTTGGGCTTTTCCACCAACTCCCAAGTTTTATTTTTCTCAATCACATTTATCTCCTATTGCATTGCTTGTTTCATTGCTCGTTTCCACACTTCTTCATCTTTGTCTTCTTCGTAGCAACTTGACTCCACCACAGAAAAATTGCATGTACCGTAAGAATCACCAGACTTTTCATTCTTATCGTAGTTGAGTTTGGAGTTGAACTTGAGCTTGAACTTGTTGGTGGGCTTGCAATTAGAGATGCTTGAATTCGCACTTCTTGTAAATCTTTATTTCTTCACTTTCTTTTTATTAGTAAGTTTTCTCGACCATCATAACATCTTCTTGGACATGTTTCTCTTTCCAATCACATGAAGCTTTCTTATTAAAGAGCACATCTCTACTAATGATGACTTTGTCTTTCTTCAAGCTAAAGACCCTATAGCCTTTTGATTTTGAGCTATAGACAACAAAGATGCATTTTTTACTAGTTTCATCAAGCTTGCTTCTCTTTTCTTTGGTAACATGAGCATAGCATACACAACCATATACCTTAAAATGATTTACCGAAGGCTTTCTCCTACTCCATGCTTCAAATGGTGTTTTATCTTTAAGAGCTTTTGTTGGACATCTATTCATCAAGTAGATCGCTATATACACTGCTTTCGTAGGAAGACCTTTAGCTTTGATCATGGATCTTGCCATCTCCATAATGGCGCGATTCCTCCTCTTAACCACTCCATTTTGTTGAGGTGTGTATCATGTTGTTATTGCGTTTGCAAGCCAATATCTTCACAAAATTTGTCGAATTCTCTTAAGTTGTATTCACCTCCTTGATCACTAATAAGCACTTTGATATATTGCCCACTTTGTCTCTCAAAAAGACTCTTGAATTTCTTGAAAAAGAGAAAACTTTAGATTCATGCTTCATGAAGTAAACCCATGTCATTGTAGAAAAATCATCAATGAAAGTTAGAAATTAGAGGTTGTTGGCATGTGATGGTGTTTTCATAGGACCGCATTCATCGGTGTGAACGAGCTCCAATGGTGCTTTGCCTCTCCATGCTTTCTCTTTTGAAAAAGCTTCTCAGTGTTGCTTTCCTAGTGCACACCCCTCAGAAAATTCATGCTTCTCTTGTGCTGCTAGTAGACCATACACCATCCTTCTTTGATGTAAACTCAACAAGCTTTGAAAATTCAAGTGCTCATATCTTTGGTGCTATAGCCATGATTGATCATTCACCTCTATCTTGATAGCAACATCTTTGGCATATCGAAGAGCGAAAAGGAAAATTTCTATTCTTCTTCATTTTGATAGTTGACATAAGATTTCTTTGACTTCTCTTGTCATATATCTCACACACATTATCTTAAAAGCTGACAATATGCTCATGCTCCATCAACTGACCAACATTAAAAAGATTTGCATCAACATCCAAAATTAGTAAAACATCACGAACAAACTTTCTCCCTTTCTTTGTGTTAATGGCAATGGCGTCTTTGCCTTTTGCTTGAGCAATTGCATTATTTCTCGTTTTCACTTGAGAGGTAAAAGAAGCATCAATATTTATGAAAATAGACTTGTCACTGATCATATGATTGCTACACCCACTATCAATGAACCATACATCATTTTTGAACTCAGAGGCGCTTTGGCATGCATAGAAAGTGTTGTCACTATTCTCTTTCACTTTAGTGTGTTTGCTTACTCATTCTTGAATCGACAATCTTTTTTAACATGGCCAAACTTCTTGCAATAGTGACGTTGAGGCTTGCCTTTGAACCAACAATCTTTCTCTACATGAGAGGATCTCTTGTAAATATTACATCGTCGATCTTGATTGGCTTCATAATTTCTTGTTTGAAAGCTATTCCTTCATCTTCCTCTTGCATTTCTTTCTATTCCTCATATATTTCTTCCACCTCTAAAAACTTCATCACTATTTGGCCGCTAACTAATGTGGACTTTTAGAGGCTACATTGAGCTCAGATTGAAAAACACTTTCAAGAGATTTTTCATTATGCATACTCAACCTTTGCTCATGAGATTCCATCAACTCAAGTGGAGAGATCTTTTAATTCTTCAATAGTAGCAATAATGATATCAAAATTTTGTGGACGGTTAATCAAAATTTCCTCACATACTATTTGATCCTAATCTTTTCACCATAACTTTTTATTTGATTAACTATCCCCATAGTTTTAGAGAAGTAGTCTTTCATATTTTCATTCTCTTTCATTTTCAAAATTTCTAACTCTCTTTTAGGAGCTTGTAAGTTTGATGGTTCTTACCTTGGTGTTCCCTTGGAACTCCAATTTCAAAATGTCCCGTCTCCTCAGATTTTTTAGCTCCAATGATTCTTTTAAAAAAAATCTTCTCCAACACCACTTGTTAGATGGAAAAAGAGGGCTTTGGCATCTTTCTTCTTGTTCTCCTTTTCATTGTTGAATAGAGTTGTTGTAGTAGGCTCTTCAAACTCATCCTCCACCAAATCGCAAATCTCTTCTGAGATGAAAAGGGTTTTCATCTTGATACTCTAATAATCATAGTTTTCACCATCATAAATAGGGATAGAGGGTTGATTGATGTTCATACTCATGTTTGAGGAAGTTGTTGTGAAAACCCCTCTCTAGGGTTTCTTCTTCTTCTTCTTCTTCTTCTTGAATGGGGTTTGTTTTCCAACTTCTTTTGCTCAAAGTCGATGGAGATGATCTTACTATGCTCTGATACCATCTTAAATTAATTGTATCTAACCCTTACACCAAAACTCCTCTAACTCCTCTCTCTAACCCCATCGCGATCAAGCTTACAACAATCTTCTTGATGAGGAGACGAGAGGAGACCCCACTCTCCAGTGAACTCCTATTGTATTCATGTTGAGTTGCCAACGAGGTGGAGAGGGGAAATAAATTTTAGGGTGAGAAGCGTAAAGGCGGGGCTAAAGAGGAGGAAAAGAAAATATATGACAAAGTTTATTCTGTCCTTATGCGGGGAAATAAATTTTAGGGTTAGAAGTGTAAGGGCGAGGCTAAAGAGGAGGAAAAGAAAATATATGACAAAGTTTATTCTGTCCTTATGCACTGGACAGAGACATAGAAGTGGATAAAGGGAAAAAAAATTAGAGGAGAAGAAAGTAGTCTTTGAGTTGTCATTGAGATAGAATTATGGTCCTTCTGCCCGTGTGACCCATGATGATGGTAATCTTATAAGTCCTAGGGTCACTAGATCCTCTCTGATCAGAACGAGGCTTGAAGATTCTCTCTGATCAGAAGCTGCTTCCTGGACTTAATTCGGTAGCTCTTCCATTCTGCGAGCATTGTGTTACAAGTAAGCAGCATCGACTGAAGTTCAACACATCGAGTTCTAGAAGCAAGGCTATTCTGGAATTGGTTCATTCTGATGTATGGCAAGCACCAGTTACATCCTTAGGAGGAGCAAAGTACATTGTGTCCATTATTGATGATTACTCCAAGAGATGTTAGGTGTATCCTATCAAGAAGAAGACAGATGTGTTCTCAGTCTTTAAAACCTACAAAGCGCTGGTCGAGCTTGAATCTGAGAAGAAAATCAAGTGCTTTAGGTCAGATAATGGAGGAGAATACACAGACGGTAAATTCCTAGCATTCTACAAGCAAGAAGGCATCAAAAGACAATTCAGTACGGCTTATACTCCTCAACAAAATAGAGTGGCGGAGCGGATGAACAGAACTCTGTTGGAAAGAACAAGAGCTATGTTGGTAACTACAAATCTGGATAAAGTCTTTTGGACGGAAGTAGTAAAAACCACCTGTTATGTGGTGAATCAATCTCCATCAACTATAATACAATTGAAGACGCCGATGGAGATGTGGACTGGCAAGCCAGTTGATTATTCTAATCTCCATATATTTGGAAGTCTAGTATACGTAATGTACAATGCCCAAGAAATTACAAAGCTGGATTCAAAATCCAGAAAATACATATTCTTGGAGTATGCTGATGTAGTAAAGGGGTATCGCCTGTGGGATCCCACTGCCCACAAGGTTATCATCAACAGAGATGTTATCTTTGTAGAGAACCAACTACAAAGTGAAGAGAAAGAAAGCAGTTCGAGGAAGGACTCAGAGACTGTAGCTGTTCAGGTAGAAGATAATCCGAATTCTTCTGAAGCAACACCGGAGCATGATGTACAAGAACCAGTCGAGTCCGAGGCTCCAGAAGCTCGAAGGTCAACTCGTGAGAGAAGACCACCGACTTGACACTCGGAGTATATTACGGAGAGTAATGTTGCATATTGTCTTCTAACAGAAGATGGAGAGTCATTAACTTTTTATGAAGCTATAAATGGCACAGATGCATCTTTGTGGATAGCAGTAATGCAGGAAGAAATTGAAGCTCTCCAAAAGAACAAGACTTGGGAACTTGTGTCACTACCACAAGAAATAAAGACCATTGGAAACAAATAGGTCTACAAGATCAAGCGAAATGGCGATGATCAAGTGGAGCGATATCGTGCTAGATTGGTGGTAAAAGGATATACTCAGAAAGAAGGTATTGATTTTAATAAAATATTTTCTCCTGTAGTTCGACTTACAACAGTCCGAATAGTCCTGGCTATGAGCACTAGATTTGACTTACATCTAGAGCAGCTAGATGTGAAAACAACATTTCTTCATGGAGATCTTGAAAAAGAAATTTACATGCTCCAACCAGAATGTTTTGAAGAAAAAAAAGAGAACTTGGTTTGCAGATTGAATAAAATCTCTGTACAGTCTAAAGCAGACGCCGAGGTGTTGGTATAAGAGATTTGATTCATTCATCATGAGCTTTGGATACAACAGACTTAATTCAGATCCTTATGCATATTTCAAGAGGTTTGATAAAAATAACTTTGTTATCTTATTGTTGTATGTTGACGACATGTTGGTTGCAGGCCCCAACAAAGATCGTATCAAAGAATTAAAAGCTCAGTTGACTAGGGAATTTGAAATGAAGGATTTAGGATCTGCAAACAAGATTCTAGGGATGCAAATTTACCGAGACAGAGTTAATAGGAAGATTTGGCTTTCTCAGAAGAATTACTTGAACAAAATCTTGTGACGCTTTAACATGCAAGATTGTAAGTTAATTTCTACCCCACTTCCTGTTAATTTTAAGTTATCCTCCAGTATGAGTCCTAGCAGTGAAGAAGAGAGGATGGAGATGTCTCGAGTACCGTATGCATCAGCAGTGGGAAGCTTAATGTTCGCGATGATTTGTACAAGACCAGACATTGCACAAGCAGTGGGAGTGGTTAGTCGATACATGGCGAATCCTGGTAAAGAACATTGGAATGTTGTAAAGAGGATTCTAAGATACATTCAAGGAACCTTAAATATTGCATTATGTTATGGGGGATCTGATTTTATTATCAGTGGATATATTGATTCTGATTATGCAGGTGATCGTGATAATAGCAAATCCACCACAGGCTATGTGTTTACACTTGCTGGCGGAGCTGTAAGCTGGGTTTTAAAACTGCAGTCAGTTGTGGCTACTTCAACAACAGAAGCAGAGTATGTGGCAGCTACACAAGCTAGTAAAGAGGTGATGTGGTTGAAGATGGTGCTAGAGGAACTCAGCCATGAACAAAAGAAGATTTCTCTATTTTGTGACAGTCAGAGTGCTTTGCATTTGGCTAGAAATCCAGCCTTTCATTCAAAAACCAAACACATTCGAGTTCAATATCACTTCGTTCGTGAGAAAGTGGAAGAAGGAACAGTGGATATGCAAAAAATTCACACCAAAGATAACCTAGCAGATTTTTTAACAAAAACAGTCAATACTGATAAATTCATTTGGTGTAGATCCTCCTGTGGTCTGTCAGAGATGTAAGCAACATGAAGATGGCAAGATAGAAAGAATGATGTGAAGATATGATTGGTACTCAATCAAATCTTCAAGTGGGAGATTGTCAGGCGTCTAACAATAACAAAAGCCACCAATCAATCAGCCGAAAGCAGCAGCTTTTTTTGACTTTGGATAAAGGAGCGGGCCCCACATTATTATTATAATATAAATGCATAGTAATTTATTATTATTTTATTATGCATAGTGTTTTTCAAAATCCTATAAATAGGCTCCAAATCCTTAAGAAAATCTCATCCCAGAAACAACTTCTTATATAGAAGAGTGAGAGAGAAAAAATAGAGAGAGTTTCTCCTTGTAAAGAGAGAGAGTTTGTAACTCCAGAGTTTTCTCCTCATAGTGGATTCTTCTATTCTTTCCCGTAGACGTAGGCAATCAAGTGCCGAACCACGTAAATCTGTGTGTCCAACTTTTATCTCTATTTTGCTCTACTATTGCTGCGATCCTGCTCTATTAGGCTACAGGTTTGTCCCAACATCATCCAAATATAATCACATCTTAATTGGTAGAAGCCTGCTGTGCCTTACATAATCAATGTAAATTTGAAGTTTCTTCTACTAAGAAATTAGGCTTCCTACCACCACTGGCTCTTTTGGCTAGCCATCTCCATTAAGTTCCTGCCAAATCTTTTCCTATCTGGCACCTTTGTGATAAAACCAAAATCCAAATTTGTATTACAATCGTACCACTGCTGACCTTCATCCAATTCCTGTTCCTATAAGGATAAAAATGAACACAAGAGCCCGTCCAAACCAAAAAGAATGCATCAAACAAGCTGAGGTCAGATTTGATGCTACTGGGATAGAAAAGGAACACTTCCTTCAGCTACCAAAAAAATATTATTTAGAATCAATTAGTATTCGTATCTACTTTTGATATTTTGCTTCATCATGGAAACAGATAAGGGTAATTAAGGAACTCGTTAGATGAACTTAGTCCAGAATTTGCATACAGAATCTACTTGACTTGTTGCACTGAG